TATTCTAACAGGGGTGAGGTGGAATCTTAGTGTGGTTTTGATTTGCATTTCCTTTATTGCTAGAGATGGTGAGCATTTTTTCATGTGTTTTTTTGGTCATTTGAATTTCCTCTTTTGAGAAAGTTCTGTTTAGTTCAGTTGCCCATTTCTTAATTGGTTCATTGATTTTAAGAGTTTACAATGTATTTTAAATCAGGGACTGTGATTTGTTTCACCTTTTTATTTGGAGTCTTTTCTGATTCCATATGAATTTAAGGATATTTTTTCTGTTTCTTGAAAAATGTGATTGGAATTTTTATTGAAATTCTATTGAATCTGTTGCAGTTTTTTTATTCATAAAACAAAATGTTGCTTCACAAGATCAAATGTATCAAATTTTTTTACAATTTACTAGTTTCATATCTTGCTTAAAAGGAAGGTCTCACTTCAAACGTATTTTTTTATTTTTTAATTCTATTTTTCTTTCTTTCTTTTTCTTTCTTTTTTTTTTTTCTTTTTACTGGTATGGGGAACTGACTCAGAGCCTGTGCTTCAGTCAATACCAAACTATGACCCCAGTTCTTTTTGAGATTCTTAGTTTTGTTTTTCAGATAGGGTCTCCACTTTTGCAAGATCAGATTAGAAGCTGGGAGGGCTGTCCATGGTTGCAGGACTCACCAGAGTAGCCAAGAGACAGAAATCACCAATTACAAAGTACCTGCTAGTTCCACCCAGACCAGTGTATGTGCTCCACACTGTTCCACCAAGACTCCGGGTTACGGCCAGCATCCCTCTGAGGTAGGCTAAAATTAGGGGAAGTTCGGGACTCATAGAAAAACATTACATTTTAGATTAACCACGCTTTAGCTCAGGAACTGCCCTCACCTGGCCAGGAACCACCCATGCCCCTCCCCACTCATTGATTATTAAATGGGAATCACCTGAATCTCCACTTCCAATGGGCTATCACAGGTTTTTTAAGCACCTGAAGAGCAGATACACCCTCTCTTGGTCTCCAGATCCACCTGGGCCCACCATGCTCCCCTGCATATTTTCCTTTCCTAACGTTTAATAAACTCCATTTACACCCACATCTCCTGCAATGGATTCTTCTCCACAGGACACAAAGAATTGGGAAATCTTCTGATCACAGACTGCATGAGTGCCTTTAACACCTCTATTCCTTACCCTGGCAATTGAAATTCCTTCCCTATCTGCCCATGGAGAGTCAGATGAGCATGCATCCTCTCTCCTTGTCATCAGCCTACAACAAACCTCCTTCTTGCCAAAGCTGGTGCCATCGTATGTCTTCTGTCCACGTCAGGCAGTGAGCTTCATTTCATATAGGACTAAAAAGAAACAGCCTGCTTTCCAAAGCGGATATTGGGCACTTCTACTCATTGAAAGGTATTATTTTAAACTCCAAAGGGGCCCCTCAAAGGATCTTTCAGGGATCATTCTGGTCAACAAAACATTTGTTGCAGAAATTGGAACTTCCTCACATAAAACTGCTACAATTTTTCCCTTAAGCCTTCAACATATTCTTGGTCTATATATATAGATACTCCTCAATTTGTTTAATCATACACAAATTGATGGGCATGTCCTGTTATTCCAGGGTTTTGTTAGGAACAGTGACAAGATTTTAAAAACAAAAAAAAAATAAAAGGTGTCAGAACTTCCAAGCCCAGCAGCATTTCAGGGTGGAGGGAAAGGCAACCACAGGGGTGGTAGTGATAAAGGCTCTCCTCCTAAGCTATTCCTATCGCCCACACATCAATTCCTTTCCACATTTTAAATGAAAACTAGTCCTGAGGTGGAATGCAAATCTCAAAAATTTTACAAGTGCTGCAGTCCAGCTGCAGCGGGGCCCTCGCTCTGGTCTTAGGGGCTGGAGCGTGATGAATAAGGACACGAACTCGGGTTGTGCCGGGCAGTTTATTTTCTGAAGAGCATATTTAAGCAGTGCAGAAAAGCAGGAAGGAATACATGGCAGTCCCAGTTCTCCCTTGGCCTCTGTACTGGCTGTCACGTTGCTATGTGTACGAGCCCAGAAGAAGAACTGGGTGTTCCCTGTTCCACAGAGAGAACGGGATGTTTACAGAAAGCCCTGTTGGACTTCTTATCTCTCTTAGGGCTGTTGCACAAAAGCTACAGTGACTTCTCTCTTTTCCAAGAGGCCCTGGGGCTTCTGGGGTTTCCCACACACAAGCAAATTTAAGATACACTGAGTCCTCCAGGAGCCTCTCCTTGGTGATGATCTGCTTGGAGGTGAGCCCCAAGCCCTGCCGAGGAGTGCACAACACTCTCCTTGTTCAGTGAAGAAGCTGAGGAAGACCTGACCAGTGGCGCCTTCTCCACCTCAGACAGCAGGGTTCTACGTTGGACCCCTCCTCTCAACAGGATGGCTGTAGAGGCAGTAAGGAACCTCTGCATTCGAGGCCAGAGTAGCTGTGCAGCTGTCTTCTCACTGCTCTGCCCCAAGAACAGGCTTCTTGTCTCTCTCCATCACTCACCCTCGGCAGCTCCAATCCCTCCCTTCTGAGGCAGCACAGGAGGCCTCAGCTCCCTGGTAAAGATTCCCTTCTTGCCTACTATCTGAATTCAGAGGCCCCATCCTCCTTACCACCAAGACATATCCTTCCTTCCATTCATCAAACATCTCTACCAAACACCCTGCATTTGTAAATTGAAGCAGAGTCATTTTCTCTTTTTCTTTTCCAAGACACATAGTGTAACAGTCCTCCCAGAAATAAAGGTTCCCAGCTCTCCCAGCCATTTCCATTGTCCTCCCTGCCACAGCCTAGTCCACTCACTGAGGAAGGTGATGACTCCCAGGAGCCTGGAGATCCAGTAGTAGTTGGGGTCTTCTGAGCAAGAGCCCATCATAGCTGCCTGCTGGCCTGTTCAGCTGCAGAGGAAACATTAGAGGAGGAAGAGACAAGGAAAAGCACAAGCACTAGAGTCCTCTCATGTTCTCCACCCCAAGGGCGGAGTTATAAAACACTATTGGAGAATCAAATTTTCCATTTTTTACTCTGATACCAGCACCCACTAAACATCCACCATAAAAAATTACAGAATAAATGGACAAATATCCTGGCTCTAGGCTGGCATAGCCAGTCTGGCAACTGATTAAAAAAAAAAAAACTCCATTTCTATCCCCCCACCACCACCTGCTTCCCTGGGTGTACAGCTCTGCTGTGGGCAGTCTTACTCCCAGATATGTGAACAGGGAAAGAAACCATACTATTATAGCAGACCTGAACTATGCCCTCCTGAGTTCAATCGCTACCTGTTTCAATAAGGGAAATTTCTGTTTTGAATTTCCAAGAGCTTCAACTTTCAGTTGCCTAAGGAAGAAGCTATGGTAAAAAATACAAGGCTTTATTGAGAGTGTTAACTTCTACATCTCCCATGCAAATATTTGCATTTACCTTTACCCTTAGCAAAATGGCAACTACCATTAATGCTAGTCCTCCTCAGGGAAAGATAAACTTCACACACTGGCGGTTCTAGGCAGCTTCACAACCACAAGTATTCCTTTAAGCCTCTGCCAGCCCTGTCCTACCACACAGAGTAAAGGAAAACAATCCACACTGCTCCTGTCACAGGCCAGCACAGCCTCAAGTTCACCACCTCCAACTGAGGCTCAGGCACTGGCCATTTGCTCCAGCCCTGGTCACTATATGACATCTGACAGTTATCCATCTCTCTACCATAGGGGAGTAGCGATCCTTCAATCCCAGGCTGGATCTGCAGGACTGGCCACAGTCTTGACCTCAGGAAGTCCTGTCACTGAGCAACAAACCATTTTAGGAATGCAATACCTGCCAACCTAAAAGACAAGATGATATACACAAGCCAACATGATGCTGGTGGACTGGGGGAGTTGCTCAGTGGTGAGCAAGCCCAGCATGGGCAAAGCCCTGTGTTCCTCCCCAACACTGCAGAAAAAGGAAAAGAAAAGAAAAGTAAGAATGGTCACGCAGGAATCCAAGAGTCATGTATTTATGCTGTGCTCCACTGGGATCTGAGAGGACTGGGTTTATGGACAAAATAAAAGCAGGAGGGAGGTTAGTGTAAAATTCCTGTTTGTTTTCTCCAGTTGCATTGCATGATAAGAACAGCACTGTCCACTGACTGGTGGTTGTTCATTTAGTATGACTGCTGTCAGCAGGAGAAGAATTCTGCCAAGTTGTGTGCTACTCCATGACTAGGTAACTGTGGTTCCATGCTTCAGGTATCCTCCTGCCTAAAGAATTTTTTGGCCTCATTCTTGTGTCATATAAAATCCTTTCTCATCCTCCAAGTCATAGAGGGTTCTGTACTCTATGAAAAGGTCAGTCACTAATCAAGGAGCAGATCTGAACCCCTGACAACAAGGTCTAGAAATCCCCAAAGTAAAAGCTGTTCTCCTCTCCCACTCTGCAGCCTCAAGTAAGTCCCCTGGCAACAGTCTGTGCTTTCACTCCACACTGCTCTGCAGCAACCCACGTAAGACAACATTCAGCACGACCTGACTCTACTGTCCTGCCAAGCACTGGGAAAATTGTTTCCCAAGGCAATCATTGGTCAGAAACTCTCACAAGGAGACAAAATCTGTCACCTTAGGGAGATGAGGATCCTGAGTCATGAGACCACCACTGCTATGTCCCTATCGCTCTGTTAAGAGGATTTCCTATTTAGTAGCTATTTCATTTTGAAACAGTGGGGTGGAAAACAGAGCCTACAAAGAGAGAAGCAGGCATGAGACGAGAAGCAGGCATGAGACTAGAATCTAGGCACACTGGGATTCAGCCGATACATACTCCTGGCTGGCAGTATGCTAGGGATTTTCTAAAACCCCAGATGTGTAATCTCATTTTAGATGTCCAGTCATCCTGTATTAAGGCACCACATGCACATAAGGACACATGACCACCATGGAAACCTTGATGAGTTCATTATCCACAACTGCCTGGTATTCATGATGTTTGGGAAAGTAAAGGAAGGCTGTAGAAGTGTGTGTTGCCCCCAGGTACCAGATATCAGAGAAACACAAAGGTCAGGCAGATGGAGGTCCAGGAAGAACAAGAGATGTTAAAAGGCCTCAAAACTGCATACCTCCATTACCCATCGAGAGCCTTTGGTTTCCTGCCTGCCAATTTCCCTGAGATCCTCTCTCTAAAAATATTTGCCTCTCAAGTTTCCCTTCTAGTCTCACTATCTCAGTGACTATCATGCTCTTCCTGTCACAGGAGCCAATCAACCACAGTATTGACAAACATGGAAAATTACTTCTGTGGTTTGAGTGTGTGTTCCAAAATTCAGGTATTACCAATGTGATGATATTAAGAGGTAGAACATTTAAGAGGTGATTGGGCCATAAGAACATCTTCCTCATAAATGTTTAAGGCCCTTTATGAAGAGCCCTCACCCAGGTTTTTGGTCTCTTGCTCTAGTGGAGAACTTAGCATTCCTCCACGTAGGTACATAGGTTTCCTTCCCTCTGAGTGATAGAGAATGTATCAGACAACCAAGCCTGCTAGCACCTTCTTCCTGATGTCACAGTTTCCATAACTTTGGCAAGGTGCAGGGCATACATTTTGCTGGGACAAATGCTGCACAGCTGGATGGTTATGCACTCACATTTCCTGACCTTGCAGTTCCCTGTCCATGGCACACTAAGATGACAATCAAAATAACAGGTTAAAATCCAAGCTTGGACAAATATTTGCTGCTTGATGCTAACCAATTTAAGTTACTACTCTAAACCTCAGTTTCCACACTTGTGAAATGGGTATAAGATTTCTATTCCATTAAATTTTATGCAGCCATGAAGAAGAACGAAATGTTATCATTCGCTGGTAAATGGATGGAATTGGAGAACATCATTCTGAGTGAGGTTAGCCTGG